GTTGGGGGTTGACCTTTAAAGCTGTACATGACATGGGGCCATGTTATCTGAGGATCCACCTCTCTGCAGTTACTTCTACAGTAATTACTTCATCAGGTCCGGCAGTAGAAGCATGTGGGTCCTTTATGCTAAAGAGTTCCATTTGATTGGATTCAGGAGATGAACTTTGCTGTGATGGTACCTCCCTATAGAATACCTAATCTCCCTGAGGTTAGGTTAGCTCCAATCCTTAGGGATCTTCGGAAAGTCCTCAGAACATGTTTTTTTCTAATATTAGATCCCCTGAGAGAAGAGAACTTCTGGCATTGGTTGCACTATGTATGACATCTAAACTCTCCTGATCTTGTTGAATGTAATGATTTAATTGTTTTAACTGGTTTTTATAGTAGGTTTTAATAGTTGGTTTTACTGTACTCTATCCATCCATCTATCCATACACATACAGAGCAGTATATTGTCACTAATAGAGCATGCCAATCACGTGTCATTATATATGCAATAATTTCATGCCATACTTCAAGTGAATGAACAAGAAAGAAAAATGAAGTAAATACTTTGAAATACCAGAAAGATTTGCTTAGGAAGATTTCAGCATACATAATACACAGAAAAGTACCAGGCCGAAAATGGCAAGAGACAATTCCCTAAACACCAGTTATTTCCATCTGAATTGGATCAGACAAAGGCATTCTGGTGAAAAAGGTTTATGAGGTACGAGCTACCTTGGAATCCGTAAACTTTTTGTGAGGTTCTAAACCTCATAGTCCTTGCGGGTCATTGCATAAAATGAATTTTCCATGTGAGACTCTTGCCTCATTTTTTTCTGGAATTCAATCCTAGCGAAGTTTACTGAAACTTTGAGTTAGAACATGTGTAGGAAGGTGTGAATGAATGGCTTTATGGGTACAGAAAGCAAACAGTGCTGCATTTGTTGCTATGTGACCAGAGTATAAAAAACATTGTGCTGGGTGCACCCTCTGGTCTTCTGTGTAGTGCAGTTACTCGCATTTAAAAGCAATTTTTATCCTGCTTCTATTAAAAAATTTGTAGTAGTTTACAATTCCCATCTCCCTTTAGTTTTAGGTTATTGATACCCGAAACTTTTAGCATCATACTGTTTTGAATGCTAGTTTGTCATTTAAAAGAAAAAAGACACTTTCTGTGTGAAAATTGGTTGAAGTGTGCTCAGTCTTTTTCAGCATTCACTGAAACAGACCCTGGAATATTGTGTGCCTTGGATTGAAATTGCATCATACTTTTCTGCATCTTAAATTCATTTATGAATGGTACTTCATTGTCATTTCATACATCTAATTGAGTCATTGATTTTTGTTAAGCGCTCCCTTGCAATGTTTAGTACATCTATATTTGCTGTGATAGCACAGTTGTGTGTTTTCTAGCAAACAGTAATGTGGATGTCCCAATGGTGCTTTTTTTCAGGAGGCAACTGGACTCTTTCTTTGAAGATGTTTTGAATATAAATCCTTCCATTCCCCACCATCCATTCAGAGCTGAAAAAGCTTCTTGGATGAGGAGCAAAACATCTTCAAAGAAAAAGTATAGTATATAAAATTATACATTGCAATGTCCTTCCTCTCAGTGAATAATACTTCAGCTTCAACCATAACAATACAAAAGCAAACAATAGATACAAACTCAAGGTGAATCACAACAAACTTGATTGCAGGAAATACAACTTCAGCAACAGAGTGGTCAATGTCTGGAATACTTTAACTGTCTCTATGGTTTCTTCCCCAAACCCCAAAAACTTTAACCTTAGACTGTCTACTATTGACCTCACCCCTTTCCTAAGAGGTCTGTAGGGGGCGTGCATAAGTGCACCAACGTGCCTACAGTCCCTGTCCTATTGTTTCTTTTTTTATTTTTATTTTATTTTTCTTATATGTATCCATGTCATGTATCCATAACTATGTTTATAGTTATACCTGTTATCTTATAATTGCTTGACAAAATAAATAAATAAACAAGCAAGTAAACAAACAAACACAGTTGCCTCCTGAAAAAGGCACCTTTGGGACAACCATGACTTGGTTGACTGTGAATCTCCATATACTTCTAGTAATGTGGGTAACAGTACAAGTAAGAGCATCTAAAGAAAGGAAAGACAAATATTAATGCTGTTGCCATTTTGAGCAGCACATTCTTAGTCCTTCCGCTTAAAAAGAGTCCAGGAGTTAAAAAAGGGAAATAACAGGTACTTGGGCAAGAAGAGATTGGCGTTGCATAAGAGCATCTGTATGGTTGAAAGCACACCCTTGGGTTGAGAGTGGTTGGCATCCATTTCACATGAAACCTCCAGTTGTTTTCTTATGAAAGTACTGGCGCTGGGATAGAGAATTGGGCATTAAAGTGGAAAATAAGGCCCTAAAATGATTGAGGTTTGTGAAGGGATGCTGTCAGAAATGCTTGTGTTCAAGAGAGCAGTTTTCAGTGGCTTTGCTCCATCTTATTTTCTTCCCCACTTAAGTTTTCATACTTTACTTGCCTTAATGCCCTGTCACTTTCTCTTACTAACAACATTAGTAGAATCCTGGAATAGTTAGTTCCCTATCATTAAAAAAAACCAACTCTTAGAGTTATTAGCTCTGGTTTAGGTTTTTACACAACTTGTCTATTCTTACCTCTGCTTGGTAATGGAACACAATATGTCATGACCAGCAGTTCTAATTTTACCTCATATGTGACATTTCTAGATATTTAATTCCATTATTTATATGGTTAAAGTTCTCCCGTGTAATGATTGCATAGGTCCCCCCCCCTTTATCTTCCTTTTTAATAGATTTAGCCAGTTCTTCCTCTTTCTGTGTTTTAGTAGCACTAATAACTTGTTCGGCTTCCCTCTGTCAGTTCTTATAAACTTCTCCATCAGCATTGACTCAGAAAACTGTGGCCCATAACTAATATGCATCTTCATAAAATTAGTCAGGAATTTTCAGTCAGATTTTATTATAAGTTTTTGTTTTAATTCATCATTTTTTTTTACTTCTAGGACACCTGTGTTGCAAAACGATGGAGAGGAATATGTAAAAAGATATAGGAAATTAGAGGCAAAAGAAGTTGAGACGGCAGGTGTCAACTGTTCTTCCTATACACCAGGTATTTCCTCCACTTTCTTCTTATCTTAGACATCCTCTCCAATCATGCATTGAGCACAAAAGTGATTGTGAAATGTGGCATTTGGGAAACATTGGAATAAGATGCTGCATTTGAAGGAATGGCTCTGCTTTTTACCCATTTAATCAGCAAGAGCTGAAAATGCCAGGAACGAAGAACATCCAGTGAAGCTGGCTGGAAGGAATTTGAAAAGAGATGGAAGGAAGCACTACTTCACATAGCCCTTACGCTGACCTGGGTGTCGGCAGCTGCAGAGCGCATGTGACTCTTTGGGACCTCTGCTGTGGCTCCCTTTCGGGTGATTCCCATCACTGGCTGGCCCCTCCCCCTCCCCTCTCTGTCAGTCCTTGCCCGGCCTGAAAAGGTAAGGGCGATGGAGAAGGGGCCGTGGCTGATTCTGTGGCACCTCACTCTTGCGGGACACGTGCAACCTGCTCTCCGCCCTGACCCAGGAGAGACGAGGGGAGGGAGCGGGTGGAGAGAGAGAAGGAGGTAGAGAGGTAGGTCAAGGTCAAAAGCGTTTTGTGGTTCCCAGGCTGGGTAGGGTTCCCATGTCCAAATGGCTCTTTGAGTATTTAAGGTTGCAGATCCCTGCAATAACCTTTCAGATTCATTAACATAACACAGAGTTGTGACCACTAACTTAGATAAGTTTAAAAGTAAATTGAGTAAATTAATGGACAGCTATTGATCTTTATAATACTATGCCTTAGCTGTTTGATTACGCTCAAGTGTAGATAACCTAAAATTACTTGTGTATTTAGTTTGCCTCCCATCTTCTTTATGCATTAACTCAATATAGCATACAAAATTCTCTTTCCTGTTTTTCTCCACAACTGTCCTATGAAGAGAGATTGGACTGCGAGAGAGCGATTGGCCAAAACATTACCCATTGATATAAGATGAAGCAGACTCTGGGTATCCCTACTCTTAGTTCTATGTGCTTGTTTAACAACCCATGATCCTTGTTTAACAACAGTAATAGAGATTGCCATTGCTAAGTAATGCAGTCATGTGACAATGTTGAAAAAGCACTATGCAATCTAAAACCATCTCTATCTCTTGGACCAAATGGATTATGTGCCTACTTCGTAAAAAAGCTATCCACTGCCATAGCAGAACCTTTAAGGATGATCTTTGAAAAATCTTTCAGGACCAGCTCCTTGCCAAACCTATGGTTACAAGCCACGGTCATCCCCATCTTCAAAAAGGGAGACCCCAGCCTAGTTGAAAATTACAGACCAATCTCCTTATGCTGCGTCACCTGTAAAGTCATGGAATCAATTATTATCCAATTCATCATCCTCCACTTAGAAACAAACAACCTACTCTCTAATAAACAATTTGGTTTTAGGAAAAAACTATCCTGTAATCTGCAACTCTTACACTGCAAAAACATATGGACTACCAAACTCAATCAGGGCAAAGCAATAGATGCAATCTACATAGACTTCTGTAAAGCCTTTGATTCAGTGGTACATGACAAACTACTCCTAAAACTAAAATCTTACGGTATCTCTGGACACCCGCTTAACTGGATAGAAGCATTCCTGTCAAACAGACAACAAATGGTCAACATTGGGAGCATCCTATCAAATTCTGTACCTGTCAACAGTATTGTCCCCCAAGGCAGTGTTCTAGGACCAACTCTTTTCATACTCTACATAAATGACCTCTGTGATCATATCAAGAGCAACTGCATCATTCTCTTCACTGACGATGTAAAACTATTCAACACCACAGACAATACTGCTACCCTTGAAAAGGACCTTAACTATGTATCAGAATGGTGAAACAAATGGCAACTTCAAATCTGAACAAATAAATACTCTGTCTTAGATATTGGCAAAAAAATCAGAAAATAAAATACAGGCTGAATGGTCAAGACCTTGTTGATGATCCAAGCTCTGTAAAGGACCTTGGAATACTCATCTCTAATGACCTAAGTGCTAGAGCCCACTGTAACTACATAGCCAAAAAGGCATTAAGAGTTGTTAACCTAATCCTACAGAGCTTTTTCTCTGGTAATATCACACTACTAACTAGAGCATACAAAACATTTGCTAGACCAATACATGAATACAGCTCATCAGTCTGGAACCCACATTACGTATTTGATATTAGCACAGTTGAGAAAGTCCAGAAATATTTCACAAGAAGAGTTCTCCACTCCTCTACTCGTTGTAGAATACCTTATGCCACCAGACTCGAAATTCTAGACTTAGAAAACCTTGAATTATGCTGTCTTCCGTCTGATCTAAGTATGGTCTATAAAATCATACATTGCAATGACTTACCTGTCAAATTAATATTTCAGCTTCAACCATAACAACACAAGAGCACAGAATAGATACAAACTCAAGGTTAACCACACCAAACTTGATTGCAGGAAATACGGCTTCAGTAACAGAGTGGTCCATGTCTGGAATACTCTACCTGACTGTGGTTTCTTCCCCAAACCCCAAAAACTTTAACTTTAGACTGTCTACTATTGACCTCACCCCTTTCCTAAGAGGTCTGTAGGGGGGGCGTGCATAAGCGCACCAACATGCCTTCCATCCCTGTCCTATTGTTTCTTTTTTTAAATTTCTTTTATTTTTGTTATATGTATCCATAACTATGTATATACTTATACCTATTATCTTGTAAGCAATTGACAAATCAAAATAAATAAAATAAATAAAATATAAGGAAAAAGGAAGTGTTTGGCAATATAAATGTTTATAAATATTGTCACCTTTTTATGTTTTCTATAGAGGGATTGGATAATGGGTGGAATCTTATTAAACTACCATTATTTATAATGTTTATTATAAGAATAAAGTGGTGCCTTGGTAACTTTTTCTGAAGAAACTGAAGATTAAAATGTGTTTTAGCTTTAACTAGAAAGTAGAGGGGTATAAGAAGTGTCCTCCATTTATGCAAGGCAGTGCTTTCTTGCAGCCCTGTTTGGAACTGTATATAAAAAAATAAATGTAGTTTTCTAGTTATTAACCAACACATTTCTAGGCACCTGTCAGTGAACGTCTGGGATTTTTCAAGCAGCACTTGAAATATTTCTCTTAGCAGCTTGAAATATCTTCTAGCTCATTTGGTCAAATTGTACAGAGCGCTTGATGTTTCCATACTGACATCTTTGAATTTGCCAGGGGGTGGATACCAGCCAGCTCTATAATGTGACAGTATATATGAGTTGTTCAGAAGAAATGTGTTCTTAAAAATATCCCAATATTAATACTAGCATTTTATTATCAACACTATAACTCTGAACATAAAATGGCTTATTTTTAGTTATCATATTGTAGTAATTAGTTATCTTAGTTATTAAGCTCAGATATAAACAGTTCACTTTATTTAACTTTACTGCATCACAACCAGACAGATAGGGTTTTGCAATTTTGAACAAGCCAGGATTTTAAGTCTTTTTCTGACCTTGGTTACAATTCTGGCTTGTTCTAAATCTCTAGCTATTGGAACAAGATAATGCAAGTTATTCTGAGTATATAACTTTTTTCTATTTAGTGTTGGTCAAATCTTACCTGAATATTTTACCAAGTTCTGAGCATTGTATTTTAGGAAGGACATTGTCAAACTGGAGCATGTCTAGGTAGACCATTAGATGATAAATGGAATAACAAGCCTAGGAGGAACTATTAGAAACATTGGATATGTTTTGGAGGAGATTATAGAGACATAATAGCTCTTTTCAGGTACTGGTTGTCATGTGAAAGACAGAGAATGGTTCAGAGTTATTCCAGAAGACAGCATGACAAGGAAGTATATTTGTTTGAATATGAGGAAAACACTTAAATTTTCTCTATACTGGAACATAGTGCTTCACAGTAATTGGTGTACTCTCTTCATTGGAGATATTTAAATAGAAGCTAAATGAGCTTTTTGCTAAATGAGATTATGCAGTAATGGATACTTGCTTTCCTTCCAATCCTTTCAGATTCCAAGAACTGCTATAATGTTAATATGGCAACATATTAATAAATCTCAACATCAGATGTGACTGAGATAATGTGAAAGTCCTTCCAAGCAGTTCTTGCTTGGTCAGTAAAGATGCTCTTCTCATGAGACACTAACGTGATTGGCTGAATTAATTCAGTTGCCAGAGCCTAATACACCGAAGCACGAAACAAGCGTACTGGTAGTTGTGCTTGTATAACACAATGAGATACAAATTAGCCAACTGCATTATAGGTAGTCCTTCCATTTGTTTAGCAGCCATTCGACGTTATGGTGGTGCTGAATAAGGAGACTTATTACTGCTTCTCAAAATTGTGGCTGTGGTAGCCCCTCTATGATAATGTGCCCAAAATTCGGGCCTGATCTGGCCCACCCACATATATGGTTGCCTTTTGGCTGCCCACCTACCCGCTGCTTCTAGTTGTCCAACTGTTGCATCTACTTCATTACGTGCCACTGCTTTACTTGCCAGAACCACCAGTGCAGCGCGGGGATTGTCTTACAGCCAGCCAGGGCCTTCCTTTACAAAAGAAGCTTGCCATATAAAAGAAGGCCTCAGCTGTGGTGGGTCAAAATAGCCTTTCTAGCCTCCCCACCCACCTGCCTTCCTCCCTCTCTCTCCACCCTCCACCCTCCCCCTTTCCCTCTCCCCCTCCCACCCCAGAATGTGGAAAGATAGTAAGGCTGCAGATATAGATGATATGATGGGAAATACCTGTATTAACATGGTTTGCTTGCAAAGTGGCAGTCTAATTTGTATCGTGTGTTTGAATGCTGTACATATGCCTGATGATGGGAAAAATGTTAATATTTCCCTGATAAAAGTGAATGCAAAAAACATAAGAGAATTTATTTTGTTAAATGTTCTGGAAAAACGTTTGGCAGAATTCTGGTTTAAAGGACACAGAAGTGATGACTAAAGAGTGGCATAGTGGCCTAATGGTGAAGCCACTTGCCTCCCAGATGTCTCAAATATCTCCCGCGAATTCAGCATGACATCCGGAAGGGCATCTGACCAGTAAATGCTCAGTTCCAACCAGTCGCCCTGACTCTACCCTGAATTAAAGGATTAAGGGGGTAAAAAAAGGGAGCTTAGAGGTGATGAGTAAAATTTGGGAAGTGCCCACATGATTTTATGTTGGGCAGAGGGTATTCAGATTTCCAAAGAACATAAGCCAAGTATATAATTCCTTTGTTGATTCTTTATACTTTGTTATTCTTAGAAGATAACAACAGGGGTGGGATGCTACTGGTTCTGCTTGGCTCTGTAGAACTGGTAGCTCTGAAGAGCAATAGACACGGAACTGGTTCTGTGTCTGCTGCTGTTTGGCCTACCCAGGGTTTTACCTGTCCTTTATTTCCTGCTTTTTCAACCTCAGCTGCTTTGCGCGGCAGAGCTGAGGTTGAAAAAGCAGTAAAAAAAGTGGCTTTTGAAATGCTGTACACCTGCGCACAGTGCTCATCAGTTGTCCAGGTGGCACAGCCTAAGGTTTATCACATGTGCGCAAAATGAATCACCAAACCGGTAGTAACGCCAGTTGAATCCTACCCCTGGATAACAATAAGTGCCATACCAAAGAGTGTTGGACGTCAATTAAAAAATCTGTGCACTGACAAAATTTTCATCTGTCAATTGCAATAGGCCTTACTGCTTGGATCTGCACATATACTATACCAACATATTATGGCATACTAGGTACTTGGGAAGAATTCAGTGTGTACGAGGACCAAGAGCTGCTAAAGAGCTGGCAACTAGGGCTTTACATTGCTGTAAATTAATAAATAAATAAAAATGTATTAACTGCGTTGCTGAGTCTGCAGACCACATTAAGAATAAATAACATTACGGCTTAATGTGTTGTGTAAACTAGAGCATCTGTTATCTTTCTAAATTCATAATTTCAGATGCTTGAAAGAAATAGCAAAATACGAATGGCGCACATGAATGAGAAGAAATTTCAGTTAGATCACTGAGATGCTAGTTCTTGCTTTCATTTCTTTTCATCCTCTTACATGATTTCATGCCAAAAGCAGGTTTCTTCATGTTTCTGAATGCTGCTTGTGATAGAGCCAACTGTAGATCTTATGCACAGTTGAAGGAATAGTTTAGATATTAAGAATTAGAAAACAGGCAGTCATTCAGAAGTGATGCAAACTCCGGTGGTTGCACAATCTTGTGCTAATTTGTATTCAGTATTTACTGCTGACCTGATCTGTGGAAACTTGGATTTTGTGGTCTCTGAGTACAGTATTTTGATGAACCTGCATTTCTGATCTCTTCATTTCTGTCTCCAGGATCATCTCAGCATGAATCTACTGTGGTGACTTACATACCAGATCGCAATTACAAATACCCTGATTTGCCCATCTCAAGATACAAGGAAGAGGTAACCAATTTTTTTGTAAATCATAACTAAAATGTGTTAGGTCTTTCTTCCCCCCTGTACCATCACTTTTCTTTGATTTCTTTTGATTTTGACCATTAATGGTTTGTGTGATGCTGAATTAACTTTATTTTTCAATCTTTCAAGCTGGTCTCCATAAATAGAAGTTTATATTAGGCTAACTGGGTTTGTTGTTCACCCTATTTTGCATGGGAAATTGACTGCTTCAGAAGATAACAAGTGCAGAGCCCAAAGTGCCGCTTAATATGCCACAAATTCAAGAGATATATGTGGCCTGAAATGCTTTTCTTCAGCAGCATTGATGTGACAGCAGTAATCTTTTCTTTAGTTTGGATAATGTAGCCATGGTTATTCACACTTTAATAACTTCTGAAAGAAATTATTCAGAAGCATGGAGTTACTATGGAAAAAGAACTGTATTCCATACAATAAGGCAGTAGGGCTATTATCTTATACTTGCCAGGCATTTTACTTAAAAAATTCTCCAGTGTATTGTGTCCTTTTTAATATATGTTTGTTTTAATGGAAAATGAATTTAACAATACAGTAAACTTCTGCTGATTGTACTCCAGCAATTTAAGGGATGCCTCATAAATTAAATATGTGTATTGTCTAAAGTAGATTGGAGAATAAAAGGAAATTCATATATAAACAAAGATTTTGTGGAATATGACTTAAAAGTGTGGACTTAAAAAAAAACAGCCTGGATTTAACAATATTTGGAGACTTGTTCTTGATGTAGATCAGGGATGTCAAACTCAATTTCATTGAGGGCTGTATCAGGGTTATGTATGACTTTGGGGGACTGGGGTGGGTATGGCCAGCTCACCATTATTCATGTTGGGGACACCTGTGATGGCCTGAGCGCTTGCAACCCTCTGCCAGCAAAAACAGAGTTTGGGAGGGCTGCATGCGGCTCTCTTCAGCTCTGTTTTCGCTGGCTAAAGGCACTGCAGGCCTTTGCCCTTTGCTGTCTCCAGAGCGGCCCATGGGCCAGATCTAAGCACCCTGTGGGCCAGCTCCGGCTCCCGGGTGTTGTTTGACACCCCTGATGTAGATATTCTAGAGGAGAATACCTAGCAGCTGGGTCAGCAAAAGAGGAGAAATGATAATTTAAAATAATTGTTTGTGGTAGGCAGCCAAATATGATAGAAGTGGAGGGAGCTAAAAAGTGAGACAAAGCAGTTTGGGAAACTGTAAAGGTACGCTGACAAGAATTTTCTACAGAAAATACAGAAAAGACAAATTCAGAATTTTTAAGACTGAAAGAAACTGGTAAGACATAAAGAAAGCAGAACTGCAAAAATATTTTAAGATTTGGGACTCTCATCCTTTTAATAACGTTTTTTTTTAAATTTCAGATTCTTTCATTGATAGAAAACCACTCAGTGGTAATTGTACATGGATCTACTGGTAGTGGCAAAAGCACACAACTTCCACAGTATGTTTTGGATTACTGTGGGCAGCACTCTATTTATTGTAACATTGTAGTTACACAGCCCAGGAGAATTGGTGCCAGCAGCATTGCAAGATGGATTAGCAAGCAGAGATCGTGGCCCTTGGGTGAACTTGTGGGCTATCAGGTAGAGCAGTGTGTTACTCCGGATCGCATGATGTCTCTGAGGTGGAAATCACATTCAGATTTTACTTCCCCCCTCCTTTTAAAATTCATTTCCTGTGCTGTAAGAGATAGTTAATTTCTTTCATAGCCTCTGGGGTGTACTAAAATTAGAAACATACCTTTGTAGAAAAGACAATAGTCAAAGCACAAGATTGTGTAAGTGGAACAGATGTCTACTTTCCCATCATTTCTCTTTGTCCAAATTTGGTCTAAACAGTTATCAACTCTTGAGAGTGGGTCTTGAGATTGAAGGAGGGATGAGAAATTCAATCTGTCTAGCCTTTTGTCCATTGAACAACCACCATTGGATCTATGCTCTTGGTGTTTTGGATCCAAGCTTATGGTTGGGGTTCCTTGGAATCCTTCCACTGGTAAATCCTATCCTTTTTGTACTCTGTTGTTAAGATCCTCCAGGTTGATGACTGAGCTCATGTTTTTATATTTTCTTTGTAAATACGTTTGTATAGTTTCTTCTGAATTTGTCTTTAATCAGACATTTAAAATGCTTCTGTTCCAATGTTTTATTAATGCATTATTTTGTTACAATTTAATCTTGTTTTACATTTTCATAAGATATTCTGGGAAATCTTCCAAGAATAGAAGTCACTACCTTAAGCAGCAAAATGTCTTTGACATGATATTGAAGTACATTTGTACAAACCATATACAAATAATTGGAATTATTTGTACAAATAATTAAGCACAAACTTAAAAGACACATACTGGCAGCAACTTAAACATGGATAATATCAGCTACAAATTAGGGACAATGCAACATTAATGCTCTGGGCTAATTTTAATTTTTTTTAGAAAATTGTATCACACGATAAATTTTGTATCCTTTTATTTAATCTCAGCCATGTCTTAAAGATCATGGAATTATTTTAGCAAATGAGATTGCAGTACTTGCTGCAACCCATGATGTTCATTCAAATAAATGTGGGGCTTCTATTTAATACTTCACCATTTTAAAATGTAGTGGTGAGTTTATCAGAGGTACTTAGTTTTCCTAATGATTTCTAAATAAATGCAACATCTCCTGTATCTTTCCAGGTTGGTTTAGAAAAAGTTGCAACAAAGAATACAAAGCTGATTTATATGACAACTGGTGTCCTCCTGCAGAAAGTAGTTGGAGCCAAAAGTCTTTTGGAGTTCACCCATATCTTCATAGATGAAGTAAGTTGGAGAAAAGTAGAACATCGCTTTACAAATGGCTTGTTTATTTTGAATACTTTTGGTTTATTTGGATTACAAGTATATAAAATAATGTTTAGCCTTGTTTTTGTCACAGATATTTTCTATAGATGTCTTCATGAGAGTTCTGTCAATGATATACAGTATATAACCGTGATGGTGACCCTATGGCACGCATGCCACAAGTGGCACGCAGAACCATTTATGCCGGCAAGCGAGCTGCAGACAAACACATCTCACTGAGCATGCATGCGTGTCACAGCTGATTTTTCAGTTGGTTTGAGGCCTTATTCGGCCTTCCAGAGGCTTCAGGAAGGCTTCTTCAGGCTTTTCAGCACAAAAATTAGGCCCGTTTCATCACTTCCTGTTTTTCAGGAAATACCAGAAGTGACAAAACGGGCCTAGTTTTCTTCCTGAAAAGCCTGAAGAAGCCTTTCTGAAGCCTCTGGGAGGCTGAAAATCAGCTGTGAGGCGCAGTGCAGTTAAGGGGGCGGTGGGTGTGGATTGCGCGCATGCGTAGGGGGCATGGGTGCACATTGCCTTCTGGTTGCTGGTGCGTGAGCGTGCAAGCGCACGCACAATTTAACAGTTAACAGATAATCAGAGTAGGAAGGGACCTTGTAGGTCATCTAGTCCACCCCCCTGCCCAAGCGGGAGACCCTACACCATTTCTGACAAATGGCAGTCCAGTCTCTTCTTGAAAGTCTCAAGTGATGGCACTCCCACAACTTCCAAGGGCAAGCTGTTCCATTGGTTGATTCCACTGTCAGAAAGTTTCTCCTTATTTTTGGCACAGGAGCCCAAAAAGATTAGCCACCACTGGTATATAACATTTGCTTAAGCAGTAAAAGCATTAATGTCTAGGGAGATTCTCAGTCATCTAGGTTATAGTTGTCCCAAAGGTGCTTTTTCAAAAAGTAGCTGGACTTCGTTTTTCCTTGAATACATTTTGCTTCTCATGCAAGAACTGAAGAAGCTTCTTGGATGGGAAGCGAAATGCCTTCAAGGAAAAACAGTTGCCTTTTCAAAAACCACCTTTGGGACTTTAATGCTTTAGGAATAAATTCCCATTTCTTTGGAATATGGGTAGTCCTCGACTTAGGATAACAGTTAGGACCGGAATTTCGGTTCCTAAGTGATGCATCACATTACTGCATACTTACTTCAGTCATTAAGCAAATCACTGCAGTTATTAAATAAATTGCAGTCATTACACAAATCTTGACTTCCCCAATGCTGCTTGCCAGAAGCCGTCTAGGAAGGTTGCATATCATGATCACGTGACTGCAAGATGCTGCAACTGTCATAAATGCAAACTAGTTGCCAAATGCTTGAATTGCGAGCATGTGACAGTAGGGACAATCATAACTGCAAGGGCCAGTGTAGTGTTTCTTCTGTCATTGCTTTGAACCATTGTTAAATGAACAATCATAAATCAGGGTGAGTTATATCTGGCATCTCTCTGCAGTTTTCAAGATATGTGGTTTATAATTGTCCTGAACCCAGTTTTTTAAAAAAATAATCTTGGTTTAGTTTTCTACTTGAATAGTTGAGCCTGGCTGTGTGACTTTTCCAAAGTACTCTGAAGTGATTACAATGCTAAATTTAGTGGCTAGATCAAGCACCCTGACAGTTTTTGGAGAATTGGTAGTGCTGCCCTGTTCTATCAAATTAAGCCTATCAGTTTTATTTATTTATATATACATGTACATACATACATACATACACACGCACACACACACACAATATTGCATAGTATAAAAGGCAAGTAAGTGTAGGCTTTTTTGGCTTTTATCACCATTAATCACAGTGATTGGATCCACCATTTCAATAGAATTGTCATTAGAATATATAGGACCAATTAAGTTTGGATATGAGTAAGTTAGTTCATCAGGGAGAGACGTATTTCAAGAGCAGAGGACAGTCATCTTGTATAAGCCTATTCTGAAAGGAAGAGTGTATAGCCTGGACAAAATCTATTTGATTTAGTTAGAATTACATTAATATTTATTGCAGTAAAATTAATATAATTACTCATCAATCATGTATGTTATATCCCCTCCAAAAATTCAAAATTCAAATTTGATAGCTGTTGCTGGGAGATTTTAAGACCACATTCAAAACTTTTCAAAACTGTACAATACCCCTGAGGCCTTAGGGCATACATGTCTGGTTTAGCTGTTTCAATTGTAACTCTCTTATTTAGGTCATTAAGTGTATTTCAGCAAAGGTCTTTCACTATGTACCATCTTCTTTTATATAACTGTTGAGAGCCTGCTGTTTTCTAGTAGTTCATCTTAGAATCCATGTGCCTCTATAGTAAACTCATTTCAAGTTGAGTTGTCTCATCTTTTAAAATAATGTTTTAGATACATGAGCGTACAGAAGATATGGATCTTTTGCTGCTGGTGATCCGGAAACTGCTGCGAACAAATTCACGATTTGTGAAGGTAACTGACAATTTCAAGGTTTATTCAGTAATACAGTGATACTTTACCACAGTTGTTGGAAAAGTTGTTAGGTTTCTGTTGTTACTAATATTTACCAATAGGATATAGGCAGCTGCTTGTAGAAAGTCCTCATTGCTTTTGATCATGTACATCAGGGATGTCAAACTCGTGGTGTCACATGATGTATTGGACTTTACCCCCCTTCGCTAAACCGAGCGTGACTGTGGCCAGCATGTAATGCATCTGGTCCATGGACCACGTGTTTAGACAGCCTTGATGTACATACTTTCAATATTTTTCTCGTTCACAAAGAACCTAAATACTGGTAGTCCTCACTTAACAACCAGATACTTAGCAACTGTTCAAATTTACTATGGACCCCCCAAAAGATACAACCCAGATTCAAAATTCTGATATCACACACCTCTCCTCAGTCACATGATTGCCTTTTGGGTGCTCTTTCCACCAATCCATATGTATAGCTGTTTGTAGTGTCCTGTGACCATGATTTACAATGGAGTTTTTTGGGGTGGGTGGAAATTGGCATTAACTTTTGGTTTCTAGCAAAAAAATACATACCTAAATCCCCATTGTAAACAGTGGATTTGCTTAGCAACCACAGTGTTTATTTGATAATCACAACATTTGCCTAATGACCAACATAAAAAATAATGTAAAATCAATTATATGATGACCTACTGAACAACCGGTGTGACATTCAACTGTAATTTCAGGCTCATTTATGGTTATAAGTCAAAGAATACATGTACCTTATTCTTAAAATGTTTGGGGTCAGCATTATCCTGTATTTAAGAAAGTAAATAATCTTTAGCTTAAGATAAATTCTTCTCTCTCCTGATTTTGTTTTCAGTCTTTTCTCCACCGCCATCTGCTAGTAATGCTTAACTTGTTCCCCAGCTGCTGAAAAACTAAATTCAATCCACTTAAATGTAAGAGTTGCAGCTAAGTTTATTCTGAAACAATCCTGTTGTCCCTCCTCCCCATCTATATTGTGGGGGGCAATGTTCTTGGCTGGAGAGTTCAGAGGTCTGGATATTTTCCCTGGCATTAATAAGGTGGAAGCCATGAAAGTTCAGTGTGCCCCTTGTGAGCATGCATCTTTAAACATTGGTTTCTGCCCATAAGATGCTTGAAGGGATCACTGTGACATTAACAATGAAAACAATGCACAATTTAATGTGCTTTGTTGATGGCTGTAAAATTATTCTCTCAGCTGTGAAAGAAATACAAGAGGATGGTGTTTTCTCTGTCCAGTGGCCCTCAACAGTCATTGATAGTTCACAACCCCAGGGATATAGGTGGGTACAGATAAAAAATGAAGTAAGCAGCTAAAAATATTTGCTGGCCTGAAATGGAGGTGTTGCATCTTAATGACCCACTCAGATTTTAATCATCTGTCCTAAACAAAAAAAAAAACATTTTATGACATTTTCCTATACATAAATTTTGAACTGATTCTAGACATATAAGAAGGTGTCTTCTAATCCACATTAAACGACCACACTGTGATATTTTCTCATATACCGTGTTTCTCACAAAATAAGGCTGGGCCTTATTTTTTTTTGACCCCTGAAAAAATGGCTAGGCCAAAGCGGCTGGGGATTCTGCCTTCAAGGGAACTTTTGTTTGCCGAAAGAAGCAGCCTCACGGCAAGGGAAGTGTGTGTGCGCTCACCCCGAGGCCGCTTCTACCGGCCGATTGAAGTGGCTAGAGACTGCATTTGGGGAGCTTCCAT